GAATACATGGTACACTGTTGATGCACATATTTTTAGAAGCATACTTAGTTTATAAAGCAAAACCCATGATTATGTGATATGTTTGTAGTCTAATCCAGTTTCAACTGTGTTAATAGCTTTGATCCCTATTACATTAAACATGATTTTTAATTAAAAAATTAATAAGAAACTGATTTTATTCTCAGTTGAGTCACAGATTAAAGCTAATATTAAATTAGTAATTTGTATTTATAACTATCCTAGAGAAAATAAATATGCCAGCATAACATACTATGGCCATTGAGACTGTCTGGAGTCATTGAGACTTGAATTTGAGGCTCAGCATTACAATGTAGCAGCTGTGTTTAGATAAGGTACCTGAGCTCTTTTAGCCTCAATGTCTCATCTGTAAAATGGAGGTAATAATAGTGCCTACAAAGAAGTTTGTTGTGAGGGAAAGGAAATAAGTAGTCAAGCACTTAGCCCAGTAAATGTTTATTAAACAGTTATTGCTGTTGCTGTTATACATTGGTGAGTAGCAAAACCATACAGTCCCTTTGGAAGGAAGGATTTAAAATAATTTAAAGAAATAATTGTTAAAAATTTTGAGCAGTACATTCATGACAAATGTAATAGTATTTCAAGCAGACGATAGTTAAAAAAAAATTATGCCTGTGTTTACCTGGGTAGAGACAAAGGATTATTTAAAAAGTATTTGCAGGCTGGGCATACTGGTTCATCCTCGAAATCCCTGAACTTTGGGAGGCTTGATTACAGGAGTTTGTGACTAGCCTGGGAAAATAGGGAGACCATGCCTCTGCAAAATAATAACAATAATAATAATAATAAAAAAAATTAGCCAGGCATGATGGTGGCATGTGCCTATAATCCCAGGTTCTCAGGATACTAAGGCAGGAGTTTCACTTGGGCCCAAGAATTTTAGGTTGTTGTTGTGAGCTATGAATGCACTACTGCACTCCAGCCTGGGTGACAGAGGAAGATCACGTCAAAAACAAACAAACAAACAAGAAACAAACAAAAACCCACGCACACAAAAAAACTGCGAAGCTATGATTACCATACACTGCTAGTAATAATGACAATAAAAAACAAAGGCTCCAAAATTATTACAAGTAAACCTATATTCACAGGTAGATAATGCCAAGTCTGAGCCCAAAGGGCAGAGGGATGCTAGGAGCTCACAGAGCAAGATCCTCTTTTGACTTTACACTCAAAGACCTTGTTTTATTTTGCATACAGATTTCCCTTTCAACATTTTCAGAAGTGGTCTCAAAACCTTATTTAAGATATTGGTTAAATATCCTAACCAATAAGATACTGGTTTCTGTCCAAGCTTTTCCTTCTGCATTTAAGCCTTATATGAGCAGAGGATTTAGATTGAAGTAGAGAGGATTTTCTTCTCCCTGGCTTTTTAGAGGAGGTGCTCTGGAAGTCTGAGAAGAATTTGGAAGACGCTACACAGTGAAGTCTGGGGTATAGCTTTTTAGTACCTAGTAAACTAATGTTCAGAGAATAAGGCTTTAGTAGAGCCATATATGTAAGATATTTGGAATCACCCAAACCTGTAGCAAAGGTTAAATCCTGGTTTCTGTTTCTTGAGTGTCTGCTTCATGTCTTAAAACAACTGGCAAACTTTCTTGGCCCTGTGAATATGCAATTCTGTTCTTAGGTTAGAGAGAGAAGCTTTACTCATGTGGTTTGGAAATGCTTTGTTTCTTAATTGTTTTCAGTGTGTGTGAAGCACTACATTTTGAAGGTCAGAGAAGTCACAATACATTATAGTTAAGCTCATCAGCTTCTTACTTCACACTGAGTTCAGAAAGGCATGATGCATGCAGTCCAGTAAGTGATGGTCATGATGTTCTGGTTCAGAACATTTGGGTTTCCCTACAGGTGTAATCGGTATGGAGTGAGTCATTAGTCATTGCATTTTCTGGAAGAGTCAGAAGAGAAAATTTCAAGTGAAATGAAATACATTGTTATAATTCATTTTTGTCACTCACAGGAGAGGATGATGTTTTGCATCAGGCTTGTTCACTGAAAAAGCTTATTATAGCCTGGTTCTTATACTAAGTACTGGCTAAAAAAGAATAGAATTAGCTGGGTGTGGTGGTTCATATCTGTAATCCCAGCACTTTGGGAGGCTAAGGCGGGTGAATCACAAGGTCAGGAGTTCAAGACCAGCCTGACCAATATGGTAAAACACTGTCTCTACTAAAAATACAAAAGTTATCCAGGTGTGGTGGCAGGTGCCTGTAGTGCCAGCCACTGGGGAGGCTGAGGTAGAAGAATTGCTTCAACCTGGGAGGCAGAGGTTGCAGTGAGCTGAGATCATGCCACTGCACTCCAGCCTGGGTGACAGACTGACTCCATCTCAAAAAAAACAAAAAAACCCAACCAACCAAACAAAAAAAAAAGAATAGAATGAGAATGTACGACTTTTCCAACCTTGATTTAGACTATTTATACATTTATACTAGGAATGTGTGAGGATGCCTTGAGCAAAAATGTCCTTTTATATGGTTGAGAAAATCGAATGTTGTAGGACATAGAGATAGTGGTGGTAAAAGGTAATGGTATAGAGGTATGTATCTAAGGAAAGAGAATGTGATGGGAAAACCCTGGGTACTATGGGTGACTGAGTTGAAAGGAAAGTAGTGGAAATCTTATCCAAGTGACCAGGAGCTGCACTTCACTGGGCTGCTTAAAGGCAGAAATACATTTAACTCACCACTGATTTGCAATATGGGGGTGGAAGGTAGCAGCATGTAAAAGATGTTGAAGATTCCTATGCACGAGAGGGAAAGCCAACTTCCCAGGTGGTGTTGGTTCAAAGGCAGGAACCTGGCACATACACAATACAAACACTATAGTATTTGCTAATGTGAAGCCATCTGCAATTCAAACTCCCAGTAAATGTACTAGACATAATCCTCCTGTTTAATACAAAAACCCACTTCTTTAAAGGCTAGAGTTCTTTAAATCAAATGTTGATTCAGGGTTCAAGGATTTACCCTTCAAGAAAGGCTGGTGTGTTAGCAACCAGGAAAAACAATTTGGGGAAGTGTTAGTTTGGCTTTTAACTAGTATTTACCATTTCTAACCAAAACCTGTTTTAACATCTGAAGAGGTCCATCAGGATAAAAGTTGATACATTAGGGACTTGAAATTCAGAGTATTATTCAACCATGTCCAACAAATATAGCTAAACAGTGTCTTTGGGCAGGTCAGGGCTTAGCACCGTCACCTTCAGTTGCTGTGCCTCAGGGAGGATGCTGGTTAGACCTCCCACTCTAAGATTTCCATTGTTCTTCTCACTTTCTAGCTGAACATGATTTCCATTAACATAACAATCTCATAGCCTGGAAAGAAACTTTGCCAGCCTGGGAAACCTACTTTGCTGGCCTGGGAAGTCTTCTGGTGAGCACTGAGGGGAGGGAGTGGGGGCATTGGAAAGAAGACTTGAAATTCCTTTGCGTTATCTGCAAACAGACAGTTCAAACTCTTTGGTCTCTTCTTCCTCCTCCTCCCAACCCTCTTTTTCATCATTTTCAATTATATATAGGAGATTGGAAGGTTTCTCTTGTGCTCTTAACCCCACTCACCTAAAATCCCTTTGCGAGGAAAACTGGGTAAGAACAGTAAAACTGGAAGGCTCTCCTGCGCTGGTCTTGCTCTTCCCCAATTTTCCTCTAGCTCCTCCTCCCTTTCTCTCTCTCTCCTCCCACAAAAGTGGTTTAGTTGGGGGTCCCTAGGATCCACCCTCCAGCTCCTACCCTCTCCTGAAGCCAGGCTGGGATCTGCACTTGTAATTAGCATGTCTGTTCCACTGAGCCACAGTCTCCCACCTGGCCACTGCCTCAAGCCTCCTCGGTGCTAGCTGGGGCTCTCGGTCTCTCCAGCCTGGGGCTTTGGGCTAAGTGCCCTCCTCCTCCATGCTCCCCCAAAGTCGCAGACACAAATGCCTCCAGGACGCTGTGTTAATGGTTGGCTGGAGCCTCTCAAGGTCAGAATCAAAGGGGCATTTGGGGGTAGTTTTGGTCTTTGAGACTTCAGTTATCCCATATTCCCCCTACCAATAGGAAGCAGAAGGGGCCCCTACACTCTTCTAGCAGCTTCTACTTCCTCCTATCCATTGGCCTTTTCCCTTGGCCAGGGGCTCAAAGCCAGGTTTTCATGAATAGAAAAGCTCCCCTGCTAAGAGATGTCAAACACACCCAACTAGAGACAGCCTTGAGCAACAAAAGATTGGCGGGTGGTCCTGTGGGAGTTTGATTCACCCAGGCGGCTATCGGAGGGGTTGGGTGGGTCTTTAGATTGTGTTGAGCAATAGGTGGGTCTTGAAGCTTGATTTTCTGGAGTTCAGTGACCAAGAATCTTAAGTTCTCTGTTTAGTATTTTACTCTGGGTAATGGGTTCAGTTCTGAAGGCCTGTGATTTTTGGGTGCTGAGCCCCAAGTTCTGAGTCGAGAGTATCTAAGCTGAGAAGATCACAAGGGTCACAGCCTTATTAAGTCAGAGGCACAGTTCAGCCTCAGTTGGCCCAGAGAGCCAACAGTTAGTCATCCTCCCCAGATATTTAATCGTATTTGAGGTTTTCCCCCTTTAATAGGCCGTGAAGTCAGCAAACTCCCCACATGGTGGCTCCCTTTACTAAAGTTGAGTAGTGAATTGTACAAGGAGTCTTGGAAATTTTCAAATATCTCTACAGATTGAACTCATTTCAGAATTTGTGTGGGAGGAAAGAGTAAGGATTTTAATGGGGTTCACCTTTGACGTGAAGCAAGGTGGAAGACAGGAAAGCCGCAGTGGGGAATAGCTTTGGGTGCTTTAGTAAGAAAGACATCTCTGCTTGATTATCCGGCAGTGTTCACCGCAGGCTCTTTGTGTGCGAGCTTGCTGCAGAGGCAGAGCTGAACACGGAACACACGCATGTAAACATGCCAACAGAAATCAGCGAGCATATGTATCAGAGAAAAAGAGACACATTCCCATGTAGATGTGGTTTGAAGCTTTAGTAAAGGCAGGCAATCTGAAGCACAGCCAAGAATAAACTAAGAGGAAGCAGACAGTTTTCGGTCATTTATGGCCAGGAATAAACAAAACTTAGTTTTCTTAAGAATGAGGAAGTATTAAATCTCAAATAAGAGCGGGAACAGCATTTAGAATGAGAAATATTATATCTTGGAAAAGCATGCAGAACTAATTAGCTTATTTAAATGTTAGATCCAAATCATAGTAACAGGAAACTCTCCCATTAAACTGGAATTTTCCCTAATTTTTGTGTAAGATCCAAATAATTAAAATGCACACTAATGGTTATTGATGGCTCTATTTCCTTTAAAAAAATAGACTTGAGTTCTCTTACTGGAGTAGAAATATATGAATCTTCTTAAATTACCCAGGAACTTTGAAGCCTCTGGGTGGATATGGTCTTCCCTTATTGCTTCCCTCTTCCCACATCATTTTCAGTCAAAACAAATCTAATTGTTTCCAGTGCAGGGATTCCTGTTAGAAACCTTCAGCAAGTGAACTTGTACTGGGAACCTTCATGCTTTCCCAGTCTGTCTCTTTCCCAAACAGAGCTCAAGTTGTAAACAAAGTGGAAAAAGATATTTCTCACCCTCAAATTCTTAAAATTTCATTTCTTGTGGAAAGCACAATTTTACAACATCAATTTTTAGAATCTGTAAGAGCCACAGAAGGGGTGAAGGTAGCCAGTCAGTCTGTCTAGAGATCCAAAACCCAGGACTAATGGGGAACAGAATGCTTTTTCCTCAAATCCAGACAGGGATGGAGAGCATTCTCAGTATTAGGGCATTTATGGACACTACACAGGGAGAAAGGATGTATCTGAATGGTGGGGTGATTTAGGCGACGAATTGCCACGTTAATAGTACTACTGCCAAATCTTCAAATTTAGAGGCTCTGGTGAAAAATTAAACCAGTGGTAATTTTCAACGTTTGTAGCATCTGTGACGGAACTCTTCAGCACCCGGAGTCTGGACAGCTCTACAGGCCGCGCTCCGGAGGCAGCTTGAGCTCTTATCAATCTACTCATAGCAGGACTGTCAATGGCAGCCAGACTCGGGAGAGATTTACTGAAAAATCCTCAAAGACTTCCTTTTAAAAACAAACGACTTCTACATTTAATGGTCTATCTGAAAGAACATACGCAAGAAATTGGGAGATCTAAATTAAATTTATTAATAGGAGAGCTTGATGATGTTTAATTCCAGAGGCCAGAGCTCTGATTGCTGGGGCTTGATGAAAAAGTAAAGAGAAATCGTAATTGCATAGTTAAAAACATAACTTTTGCCATCTTCAAAATTCTACAAATCCTTTACCTGTCCTTGAGAAATGAGTGAAATAGAAAACCATCAAAATAATTGGACTTCTTAAAAATTGGATTGTATGAGTGAAAGGTGTTTATGAGAAGTCGATGACTCCGGATCTTATCATCCAAGAGGACAGCACAGAATAGTTAATATGTTCCTTGAGGGACTAGGATGCTGACGTCTTTTTCTGATACCCGATCATTACGTGACTGAAAATAAAAGGAAGTCATTTCATGAATAAAAATTGGAGCGCAACAGTGCAACAAAATATTCTGTACTTAAAGGCAACAGGCAGACAGATGTTGACAAAGAAGGCTCTCCAAAAACCGTGTTCGGATAGATTTTTGCTAACTGCACGGATAAATACGAGCAGAAGGCCGGTCAACTCTGTAACCGCCGGCAGCAGCAGCAGAAGAAGCCGCAGCTTCAGAGGCAGCCAGAGAGACCACAGGGCAGAGTAGGCGCTGCCGACCCCCGCAGCGGCCTGACCAGCGGCTCCCAGGAAGGCCGGCTAGCCACCGGCCCTCTCCCTTTCTTCTCCCTCTCCTCCCCATCTTCTCTGCCATTCCCTCTTTTTCTTAATCACCTGCTTCTTCCTCCGGGTGGACTTACGACCACTTTGCTAGTCCGCCCTTTACCTCATCGCCCCCTCTTTATCTTTCTTCTATCTCTCTCTCTTCGCCCCCTTCTCTCCGTGTCACGCTCTCTCCTAGTTCTGCGCGTCTACAAACTTTTGAACAGAATACAAGCCTCGGCAAACAAGTCCTGCAGCTCCTCCTGCTGCTCCTGCTCGTTCCTGCGGCTTCTGCTCAGACACCGACGCCAGACGGTGATGCCTCTCGGGTTGTGACTCCAGCTCAGAAACTTGAAGGAGCCCTTTGCCCCCCGTCCTACTTGGCAGCACACCCTCTCCTGACAGCGGTAAGGGTTGAAGGATAAGGGAAAGAAAATCTTATCAAGCCGACCGACTTACTCGACCGCTGATTCTTTCGCTGGCATCGCGTCAGGGTAGTTAGTTTTCCTTCAACCAGGTCTGGCTAGTTATTGGGCTCTGGGTATATACATCTATATATTTTTCTAACTATAGCAAGCAAGAAGTGGCAGGGCGCGCGCTGGCTGTCGTTAAGTGGTGTTCAACACTGGGAGCCGGGGCTTCGCTCCGTCCCTCCCCCAGCTTCGAGAGTTTTTTTGGGGTTGGAGGGTGGAAGGCTAGGGGCTTTCTTACAGTTGTGTGCCCTCTTTCCCATCCTGTGCAGAATGACCATGTGTAGCGGAGCGAGGCTGGCCCTGCTGGTCTATGGGATAATCATGCACAGCAGCGTCTACTGCTCACCTGCCGCCGCCGGACTCCGGTTCCCTGGGATCAGGTAGGTGCTGGCTGCCCTGCCCGAGCCGGAGCTGGGGCTTCCCAGTCACAGACACTTCCTCACGGTCTCCCTCCTGCAGTCCTCTGGGTCCAGACTACTAGCGTCGCCCTCTGCGACCCCAGTGCGCCCCCACCAGCCTTAGATGGACTGCGGGTCCCCATTCTAGCCGGAGGGTCTGGCAGGCTTGGCGACGGTTCGGACCCCTCCCCCAGCCAAGGGCCGCTCAGGGTCCAGGGGTAGAGCCCTTGAGCTTCCGATCGCTGGAGAAACCTCCCCTCCCCCAACCTGGCCCGCAGGACGGGGGCAGGGCACGGCCCCTGGCTTGGTTTCTTTGACCTATTCTTAGGATGAGTTAGGAGAACTTCAGCGCTGGAGCCTGGCCTGGGGTTGAGCGTTAAGCTCCCTCGGACTTTGCTTTGTTACTGCTTGTTCTGCACTATCCGGGCGGGTTCTCCCTCTCTCCTCCGCCCTTTCTCTTAATTTCATTCCAAATCTTTCCCCTGAAGAGGTTTCTTTCAAGTGATCCGTGTTCCAACTGCATTTTGAATCCCAGGCTCTCTTGGGGGGCGTGAGGGGGGAGGGTGTTGGCCCGGTGTGATTCAGGAAAAACGACTTAACAGAGGGAAGAACAAGAACGAGACTGCGAGGGAGGGGGAAAACAGACGCAAGGGAGGAGGAAAAGAAAGCCAGCAGGCAGGAAGGGCAGGGAGAGCAGCCCTGCCCGGCCCAGGATGGAGGAACCTTGGCTTTTTTCTTAAACCGGGGTTTCTAATGGGCAGGCACTGCTCAGGTTCCCGGAGGCAGCCCCAGAGTCGCGGGCCGATGTGCCGGACCTTAGAAGCGCCTTAGGCCGGGCAGGGTCCGCACTCGCGGCGCCTGGGGCAGCAAGGAGCGCGCGGTCTGAAGGCGCCGCTGCCTGCCTTCTCCGAGCCGCGCCCAGGGAAATTAGCCTTGGGGGGCCGCTGACCATTGATTTGCACTGAGAGATGGGTTCTGGCTTCTGTATTAGGATTCCAGCATCTGGGCTCCAGGCAGGCAATATCCAGAAAGACCCAAAGTTCGGGATACCCCGGACAGGGCTGAGGCGCAACGCGAAGGAAAGGCTGGGTGTGGGGCGTGCGGAGGGATGTGCGTGCTTAGCCCCGGCTTCTCCAAGGATGGAGAAGAGGCGAGTGAAGTAACGAAGTACTACTCCAACCCCGCATGGAGAGTGCTACTAGCGCTGGCTGCATTCCAAGTCTCCAGGGGTCCAAAGCGAGAGGGATTTGTTTTAACCCATCTCTACCCGTCCTGTATAAAGAATGGAGGCTGTAGACGAGGGCGACTGCGAAGTCGCCAGGCACTCGCTGGCTCTCAGTACCCTGTTGAACCCCTCCTTGTGCTCCGAGGTTGAGATGGGGCCCCGCCATCGCTAACAGGTTAGCACGAACTATTCTTTTAGTGGCCTTAAAACACCCTTGTTTCACCCCCAGCTATTTTCAAATTCCCGTGTGCCTGGCACTTTCTCCGGGCGAGAGGCACCGGAGGGCGCGGACAAAACACAGTCTGAGCCGCCGCCAAACCCGCTAAGTTTAGGGGCATCTATTATTCATGTTCCTGCCAGATCCTCTCCTGCCCAAAATAGAAACCGAGGTTCTCCGTGACCTACATCTGCGCGGGGAAGGGCTCCCCTGGGCTCGGAGGCTGGGGTGGGGGTGGCTGCGGAGTTGGCCGCCTCACACCCCATCCTCTCCTTTGCTTTCTGGGCCTCCCCGTTTGGGTCTTCGCGTGGGTCAGCGCCTAGTCTCGTAGGACCTTTCTCGTCCCCGCCCGTTGCTACTTTGGGGAGGCTCGGACGCCAGGCGGGGAGGGGGGGCGGTCCTTTTCAGTAGCCAGGTTTGCGCGATCGGCGGAGACGCCTCTGTTTCCTGAAAAGTGCTCGTTGAGGCCTTGGCCCTGCAGGAAGACACTGCAGTGGCACCCGCGAGAGGAGGGGTCGGCGAGCCGCCTGGCGGGGTAGGAATGGTTGGGTATGTTTCCCTTCTCCTTACCTCTGCTCCCACCTCCCGTCCTGGGAGAAAAGACAATTTTTCCTGGAAGACTTTACCAACTGTGAATATCAGTGATATCCCATTTATTTTGGTCCTCGCAGAGCTGGGGAGGGACTTGTACTGACCACTCCTTCTGTCCCCGGCCACCCCGCAGGCCAGAGGAAGAGGCGTACAACGAGGACGGAACCCCGCTGCAAGATTTCTACGACTTGGAGCCTCCGGGCGCAGGGAGCCCCGCCTCCGCTCTGCGCGACGCTTTCGCGCTGTACTACCCGGTGGAGAGCAGGTGAGATTCGCGCGGCCTCGCGCACACCCGCGGCTGGGCGCTCCGGATGGCGGTGGCGGGAGGGGTAGTGTGGTGACCCACCGATGATTTTTTTTCCCCGTTACCTCAATCCTCTCCCTGGCCATATTCTATTGCAGCTGCAGAAAATTAGCCGCGGGCGGGTCTTTGTGGACCTCAGGGCCGCATGGGGACCGAGGGGGCTGTGGCCCAAAGAGTGGCAGTGAGTGGCGTCAAGGAGCCCACACTCCACATCTGCCATTCCTCCAGCCAGGACTAACTCCCGATCCTATCAGTCACTCTCGGGATCATCCCGGGAGTTGTTCTCGAGTTCTGTGCCTTTGGAGGTTTCTCTGTCAACCTCTCTGACTGCCGAGGGGGCGCGCACACCCAACAGGGGGGTCTCTAGCCCAGTTGGGGGCAGAATCAGTGACCCAGGGCCGCGCACTTTGCCTCCCGGTTAGAGATGTCGTCCACGGGATTCTTAACAAGGCCTACCGCAAAGTGCTGGACCAGCTGTCCGCCAGGAAGTACCTGCAGTCGCTCGTGGCCAAGGGCGTGGGGTAAGATTTGTGGAAGGGTTAACCCGTGCAAGGTGGCTCTCGCGCGCCGGGGTGGGTGCCTGAGCGGGGCACGCGCTGGGAGGGCGGCGCGGCTTGCGCGGCCGTGTGTGCACGTGGGGCCCAGGGTGAGTCTGTGCCCCAGGATCTGGGGTGGGTACCGGCCGAGGGTCGCCGGTGAGGTTTTGAAGTGGCACCTTAAATTTGCCCAGAGAGCTCTGGAAGAGAGAAAAAGGGAACGCGTGCCAGGGTGTTTGATCCGTTTTGAATGAAAGGAAAGAGAAAGCAAACCAAACCTCTCAGTCATTCAAAACCTTCAAGCTTCCAGGGAGTTTTTGCTGTAATTTCCTCTAAGCATTATTATTATTATTATTTTTTTTGGGCGGAGGGAAGGGGAAAGGGGTGTTTGTATTTACTGAAAATCCAAATCGAAAAAATAAATCGCCAAATTTGGACACTTAGGAAACCAAGGAGTTTTTGCTCACGCCAGGCAAACCGAGAGCATAGGGCTTGCGTGAAGGGTATTGCAGCAGAAGGCAACATTTTAATAAAGCCCATGGGAAAACAGATTACATTTTCGCTGTGAATAATTCATGCAGTGAATAATATAAGCCTGTCGACTTATATTACTATCACGTTTTTCAACTTGGCGTGAGGAGGGAGAGGAGTGGTCATGTTTGACTAGGAATTGCAAGATCGATGCAAACTCCAGGGCAGCAGCCAGCCTGGCGTATTGAGGGTTCTCTGGTTATTTTCTCTGTACGTCGAAGGAGATGAAGAGTGAGGACAATTTAGCGCAAACGCACGGATGGTCAGATCTCAAGGGGCAGCGTTGGGAGAAGGGTTAGGCTTAAAACACGTGTCGTCTGCCTGGATCTTATCCCGGGCCCCTTCTGTAGGGTTTCGTGCCAGGAAATCCTGGCGAGGGAGGGAGGCATTGAGGGGCTTCGATTTCAGCCCTCCCTACGACAGCTTCCTGGCAGAGGGAGGCGGTGAGGTGGGCAGTGCGAGCCCCAGGCCGTCCCCAAGGCTCCGCGTGGGAAGGGGCCCGCCTGCTCCCCGCAGCGATTGAACCTTTGTCTCCCGCCCCGCCACCCTCTTCCCGACCCCTTTGCTTGCAGTGGGAGCCTAGGCGGCGCGGAGGACGACGCGGAGCCGCTCTCCAAGCGCCACTCGGACGGAATCTTCACGGACAGCTACAGTCGCTACAGGAAACAAATGGCTGTCAAGAAATACTTGGCGGCCGTTCTAGGGAAAAGGTATAAACAAAGGGTTAAAAACAAAGGACGCCGAATAGCGTATTTGTAGCGCTGAGTTACCAGCTACCCTGTGTATACAGCCCCGACGCAATGAAAAGTCCTTCTCCAACTGACTGAATAGTTATCGCTCATGTGTTCTATCCAAACATGTATTTATGTAATGAAGTAAAGCCATTAAATGAATATTTTGATAATAATATTGTTTTTCTTTTTACAAAGCACTAGAGAATGCACAGATATACTTTGTGGACCAATTATTGATATATATTATAAATATATATAAAGAATATATATGTATAGAAGTATAGAGAGCAGTTCATACAAAGCGTGCACAAGGATTGAAAATTCGCCTGAGCTGTTTATGTTTTTATAAAAAGAAATAGAAAAATAGACAATCATTGTTTTGAATATTACTCCTATTTTTGTAAACTGGAATTAAAAGGATAGTATTTTTATCCACGACAGGCCTGAAGATATTAATACTGACCATTTGCTACTGTACATAAACAACGATGCCCTGCTCCAGGGAGATTTTGGGGAATGATTTGGAGAATTGCTGAAGGGCATTCTATTTCAGTGAGCCTCTGGGGCAGGCTGCTTCTATACCAGCCTAACTCAACTGGGCACTGTGCCCCTGGTTGGGTGGCAATTCCAATATTTCTGCTTTCTTTGATTCTCCTTTTATGTGTAGTTGTCTCTCTTCAGACTCAGCCCAGAAGAAAATTCTCCTGATAAAACAACAGCTCGATCCAAATTGTGCTTCTCCTCAGAATCCACACCACTCCCTGGGGGAAGAGTTGAGGAACTGTACAGAAAAGGGAGCCTTCAATAGACTGCTCTCTTTTCTGTACTTCCTGAGTTGCCAGGGAACCTAGTATCCCCAAATTAGGGCAATTGGAACAAAGTGAAGGAAATAGAGGTAAATTGGAAGTGGCAGAGCATCAGGCTGTAGGAGGAGGACCCTGGAAAGGGACTGGTTCTAGGCTGCCCCAGGTCTGGGAAGCTGAGGGCAAGTCCAGTCCCAAATGGTCCTGACTGAGTTTGGGCGCTGGGTATTGGAAATGGATGCAAAGTACAATGTGTTTTTCTCCAGTGCTGTCCATACTTCTCATCTTGTGAAATGGCCAGGATCCTCCCCTTTGAAACCTGCTCTGTAGGAGCCACCCCTTTCCTTTGTGGTTTTTATGGAGACCTCTCCTTCCTACCCTCCTGCACTGTTTAAGTACTGTTTACCATTTTTCATTCACTTCTCTTAAACTTGTGAAGCTTTTCACCTTTTTTTTTGGTTTGATGCAGGCACTTATTGTAAAGTTTAGGAACCCCTGTGTAGCTACTAATAAGTAATTATGCACTAAATATGAACCCGTTGTTTCTTGTTTATTGAGTTTGTAGGTAAAATGTATTTTTCTACATTATTGCTTATTGCTT